CAAGTTGAATAAATAGAGAAATTACTGTTGTTCATGACACAAATAACTAAACTCTAAATATTAGTTATATTTAATATTATATTAATGTTTGTGTATAATACATTGGCAGCTTAACGCAGGAATGTACATGGAAACAAAGGGGAGGGGGTTGTGATGTGAATGTGCTTGTGACTTTATAACAGTGCTTATGACACAAGGGAGAAGTTTCTATTCAGAAATAGCAGCTTTTCCACTGCTTTTCCTGGGCTTAAGACGGTTCCTCTTTATTGAGAGAAATATCCTCTCACAGGGCACAGATGAAGTAGGGGTTGCAAGAAAAACCACAGCAAGTTTATACAAGTTTGGATAAAGAAATTTGTGTCCAGCCCAGTACTCCAGTGGATTCTCCAGTCTGCCAATGTTTGGTTCATGGAGGTATTTCTGCACTTCAGCTGTTGCAACACCAGTAGCATTTGGGGTCTTTGTCTCCATAACAGTGGTATCCAAACGATTTCACAGTTTGCTACCTAAAACCAGAGATGGGCAGTAACGCGTTACTTGTAACAGCTGTGTGCAGATCAACAATGGATCACATATCGATTGTGGGAGAGAGTATGAGCGTGCAGCGTTTAAAGTGTGGAAGTACTGACCTTACTTTGAGTTTGATTCCATAAAAAGTGACAAAAACATTAGCGTCCGTTGTGCGTCGGGAGAAAACTTCTTAAACCCCCCTAACCTTCCAAGCAAGCACCAAGTGCGTAACGACGTAATGGGAAATTCACAGAGAAACTCGCAGATTCTTCAACAGACCGCTGCGGCACACCTGGACCAGGGTAAACCTCCGCCTACCGCAGTTCTGCTTTAAGGGTGAAAATAGAGCAACAGGACCGCTAGTCTTTGACTTTATTTATTTTCTGCTGTGTTTTACTTGCATCTATTTGAAAGAGTGAGTGTAAACACAAAAAATATTTTATTGTATGTGCTGGAATGTGCAGAAAATAGGTTTAAATGTTAAACTAATTTAGTCAAGTCAGAGAATGTTGCATATAATTTAATTTTTGCTTGATGCATAAAGTTAAAAGATTAAAACTGATAAAACAAGTTAAAAAAATAGACTTTTCCATTTGATTACATTTTGTATGATGGATTATGTAGAAAAAGTAGAATTGGGCTGAAAGATCTATCGCTTTATCACCTCTTCAGGTTGTAAATCGTGTTTTTAAAAAGTAACTAAGTAACTAAGTAATTAATTACTTTTGAAAATAAGTAATCAGTAAAGTAACGCGATTACTTTTTTGGGGTAGTAATCAGTAATTAGTTACTGATTACTTTTTTCAAGTAACTTGACCAACACTGCCTAAAACAAACAGAATGTAAGTAACTAAATACAATATAACAATCAAAATGTGCTCATATACTTTGAGTCACAGGCTGAAAAGCTTCTGATGATGAGGGAGCCAAGTGCCGGAAAATAGCAGCACATTTAAAAATGAGTCTCTTCTCGGCATCCATTGCTTTATTGGCGCTTAAGAAGCCTGTTTCTTTTTTTTACCTTGGATCCAGCAATGTTGCCAGTGACATGATGCTCATTGACTGCAATGTGTAGAGCTCCTCCTTTAATTGTCTCCTTAGACACTCAACCATGGTGGAGCTCTCTGGAGTTAGGACAACTCCCATTTCCTCTTCATTTAGTGTAACATTGTTAGAAGTGGAATTACTTTGGATCTAGACACTCGCTTTTCCTCTGACAGCTCAGTGGTGGCATCATGAAATGGGGAGAGTATTCTAAGACATTCTGCCATAAGCTTCACTTCAACACTTCACCCGTTGCCTACTGGTGGTGGTCAGAGGGCCCAGTGTCGCCAGTGTCCGGCAGCCTCGCCTCTGTCAGTGCGCCCCAGGGTGACTGTGGCTACAATGTAGCTGCCATCACCAGTGTGTAAATGTGTGTGTGAATGACTGAATGTGTAAAGCGCTTTGGGATCCTTAGGGACTAGTAAAGCACTATACAAATACAGGCCATTTACCATAAGCTCATACTGTTCAGAGGATAGTGGGCAAATATCAGTGTGCAGGCCAGCTAACGATGCTCCAATAGGTTCCCTGAGTTCATGAACACATTGAAGCATTTGGAATGTGCTGTTCCAACGTGTATCCAACTCTTGAATTAACTTCAGTGCAGGTCGGCCCATTTCCTCCTGCACCTCTGTCAGCCTCTCCTAAGAAAACAGCCAACACAAACTGATTAATTCAAGCTGTGTTACTACAGCAGAACCTTAAAGCAGCAATGAAATAATGGAACAAACATTAGCAGTTATACTGCTACTTGATCAAGAGCTTTTTGACCATTAGATTCAATGGTCAAAAAGATTCGCCACACAATTACTGTGACGCAAACTAAGCTCCTTAGCACAAGCACCCATGTTTGCTGCTCCATCATGTAACTTTGTCTGTAATGCCCCACTCTGACATGAGCGCTTCTGTTACTTTTGACAAATTGATAGCAGTATGTGCTGAACACCTAACACTACAGAATGCAATGCAGTGTTAGAATCGATGAAATGGCAGGTGACGGCTAGGTAAGCCTCTGTGTTAATGGAGGTCCACATATCAGATGTCAAACTAACTGCAGAAACCTTGGCCACAGCCAGTTTTTATTTTTGTTTGGACTCTTTGTATCTTTGGTCCACCATAGCTTTCAAAGCCTAAACAAAATAAAGTACAGTACTTAATATGGAAATGAAGGCAAAATGGAAACATGCTTCATATTTTAAGATACACACCTGCCTTGTGGGGAGAACATAGTTAGGGTTCAAAGCTTTAACAAGCTTCCTAAACCCACTGTCCTCCACAATAGTGAAGGGCTGGGAATCCTCTATCACCATGTTGACCAAGGCCTCATCCACATCATTCCTCTCCCTTGATAAAAAAAAAAAAAAGAAATTACAGATATCAGTAATTACAACCCAAATATAAGTGAATGACATGGGGAATATAAATGTATCAAATGACTGTATCCTTAAAACCTACAAAAACTCACCTGAGCTTGGTCCACCTTGGTTAGTCTCCTTGTTCTCATGCAGGGCTCTGCAATGCCTCAGCATAGATGAGGTGCTGTTGCTGTATCCAAGTTCTTTGGAGCACAGCAAACACTTCACCTTTTAATGAACCAGAACACAGAAATAGGATCTGTGGTGTCGTTTATGTATATTATGGTGCTTATCATTTGTGATATTTATTACTGTGTGTATACCTTATTAGGAGAGATGAGATCGAAATGTTGCCAGACCGGGGGAAATGTTCTTTTCCTTGCTGGTTCCATCGAGAGAGGAAATGCTCAAGTAACTATGCAGCACGTACGTAATCCAATTCCACAACACAATGTGATGGGAATCAGCTGTGTTTTGCTGCGATTTTATTTGGAGTCTGACGCAAACCAGCAAACCAGTGAATCTGTCACATGGTACGGACTGCCCGCGAGGCCTCGAATGTCACTGCTTACGTAATGAAAGCAAGCGTCGATACGCGCTTCACAAAAACGCCCCGGAGATTACCCAACACGGGCCTTTAAGACCTACCATAGAACCAAGTCCGCCAGAGCTTATATTATATTTTTACATGCTGTGGAGCCATTTTTTGGAGCATTTCAAGTTGCTATACATCAATACAACCATTATAGCCCAAATTTTAATAATATGTTTTTTTTTAACATATATTTCTAGTTAGAGAAATTTAAGAGGCTTATCCCTCAAAACTGTAAATACAAAAAAGTTGCACAAACTAGTTTCCCAACAAAGGAAATTTATTTTGAGTGTTTTCATAGTTTTATTTTTGAGATACACCAATTTTCATATACTACAGGAAAAACGAAAAAATATATTATAGTGCAAATTTGCAAAATAACAGCATATGCATCAAAATAAACTATTTCCAGCAGTGCAATATGAGTCCTAAGCATCCCAGAAACGACACAGAAAGTCATAAAGTCAAAGATAACTTTTAAAAACACAAGTATAAGCTCATGAGGCCACGATGGTAAAAAACTACATTTCCGCAAAATGACGTCGCTTCCGGTTTCGGGCAGGTCATGCGGTCATATGATAGTTCGCGCTGATGGACGTAGGAAGTGTTACAAACAGCTGATCGGATCGGCAAAGCGTGTTTCTGGAATATCATATTTTTGTTGCTGCAAGTGATTTTTATGCAGTTTTTGCAAAGCTATATGTGGAAGGAAACTGTGACTAACTAAACCTATGGTATAGGATTAAGAAATCTTACATGACCTCCTTGAGTTATCGTGCTCATAAAGTTGGGCATCCTGACCACCTGGTGGGCTGACAACTATATCCAAAGCTTTTCAGGCTGAATGGTTAGAATTCAAAGTAAATAACCGATGTCAGATTAAAATCAGGCTCTGAAGTGAGTTTGTCTGATTGTGTTAAAGTCTAACATCTCTTTCTCCTTGTGTTTCTTCGTTACTTTTTCTGGTTGCATCTCTGGTGGGAGGAACCAAGACACAAGGAAAGGAGGCAAAGAAGGAAAAACTAAAAAAAACAACAACAGTGGAAAGGATAGAAAATAAAGCATCATAGACGATAGGAAGTAAGATGCTCAGCATGTGTGTGGATTTGTGATTAAAAAGCTGTTAAAGTGGAAGCTTGGCATCCCATTCATGTTACTCTGGATCATAAACTGTTTAAATATAAATGAATGAATCAAACTTAGATTCTCCACAGTTTTGGGGAGGGTCAGAATAAAAGTGATGTATTTAGATTTCTTTTTTTTCTAAGATAAAAAGCCATGTATAAGGTATAAGTGTTTTGGGTTCAAGCTAAGCAGACTCAATGAGTTATTCCTCAATCTTTAACAAAGATGAAAGTGGACAATACATATTTTAGAAGGAATGTTTCACGAATTTTAATCATGTTTAACACATTAGTTTAAGCTCAGTGAGTCTGTTTTATATTTCCTCTGAATATCAACATGAACTCTCAACACACAGCGCAGTAAAAATGATCTCTGCTTCTTCTCATTGGCTGTTGTTGACTTCAACTTTTTCTGTCACTGTCACATGATGTCATCATCTCCAACTTCTCCCCTGTCAGATAAAAAGAACCAAAATAAACAACAAAATAATTCGCATAATCATAGTGTGGGAATGTGTTTAAATGATTTATGAATATCGCATTAAAATAATTCACATAATTTCACTCTGAGAAACAAAACCTGAAAGAGAAACGGCTCAGTCTCACCTTCAGATTTCCTTTTAACTTGTCGTCTCACCAGCAGAACCAGTAACACCAGTAGAACCAAAACACAGACTGATTTAACAAATGACACAGTGATAACAAGAGAAAAGAGTGATTGAGAGACACAGGTGGAACCAGGAGGATGTGTGGATGTAGGTGGAGGTGTGGTGGTGTGTTCCCCTAAAATAAAGCAAACACAGTCATTAAGTTGTCGTCACATTGTGAATGTTGAAAGCTGCAGAAACACAGACAGGTGAGTGTGTCACCTGTGACAGTGATCCAGCTGGATGGAGACTCTCCATGACCGCTGATGTCACACTTGTAGAGGCCTTCATCAGACCTGGAAACATGCTGGATGGTCATGTGACCTGTAGGCTCCTCCCTGATGAGGGAGCCATCTTTATAGAAAGCAGCTGGGAGGTTGGAGGGAGTGGTCTTTGTTTTACAGAGCAGAGTGACGTCATCTCCCTCCATCACAGGGAGGACAGGACTCTGCAGGATCACTGATCCACCTCAACACAGAGACAAACTACAGCATTTCATCCATTTACACACAGCTTCATCAACACTAACTCCACACACTCAGCTTACCAGTGACTGTCAGGTTAACCATGTTACTGATGGGACCCTCTCTGGACTCACACCAGTAAACTCCACTTTCCAGTGGGTCAATATAGCTGATGTTACAGGAAGAACCAGCTGGTGTTCCCCACCCATCTCCACACTGAGTCCTCTGTTGTTTGCTTGTGTTTCTCCTCAGAGTCCATCCAGCAGAGCTGTCGTCCTCCTCACAGCTCAGAGACACAAAGTCATATTTAAAGAACTGAGAGCTGCTGGGACTCACAGTCAGACGAGCTGTGAGGGTTAAAATGAAAAACTGATGATCTGTTGTACTTTACATTGTGAAACATGAACACAATCAGGTCATATCAGTGAGCATTTAGCAGGTTTAAACTGGGACAGAAGAAGGTTACTGACCTTGGTTTGTTGTGCAGGTCAGCACTGAGATCAGAACTAAAGAGGAAAGGTTGGTTTGAGTTTTCACAAACAAATTTATTCTGCATCAATTAGTCAGTCAATCAAGTGATGAGTCATATTTTCTTCTGTACTGCTGTGTCTGATAAAGAGAAGAGATTCTGTGGTGTAAGTTTTGATTACAAAGTCTGCTGCATGCCTCATGTCAAAATGTGAAACTTGTGATTTCTGAAATGTGATGACTGCAGTCAGACATAAATCACATCCACAGACTTAAACACAGAACACTGATAGAAATAAACTCTACATGAAACATGTTTCATTTTCAGGAAAATATGAAACCTTTAACTTTAATTATTTCTATAACAATGTGTCAGAGATCGCTGATTATAGTCTTACGTTTACCTTTGTGTAGAAAGAACAGTGTAACATACAGTTTGGGTACAGATTATTATTTTGATATTAATGTATTATTAGTGGATGCTGCTGATGTTATCTGTAGACATTTAATTTGTTCTGCTTTTGAGCAAAATCAAACAGAACTTAACACTGTTATCTTAATCTGGGGAGTTTTTGGATTCTTGTTAAAGATTTTTCATTTTTGTTAATATCGTTCTACTTTGTTTTCATCCTTAAGACTTGTTGTATGTACTCTTGAAAAGACATCACAAGTAACAGCATTTTTGAAATCACTAAAATGCTGAATTCAGTTTTTCACATCCTATTTTTTTTGTTTTTTTGTGTAAAATGCGCAAACTTCTCTTTACAGCTGAAATTGGTCTTCTTCTTTTTTAAAACTTGCTTTCAATTCTGTTTCACTGTTTATGTCATTTTCTTTCATCTGTCATCAATCAGCAACCGAAAAGTCTGTAAAAATAAACTTTACGTAATTTAAAGAGGTCTTTTGCTTACAGAGCAGACATTGCAGAGATGTTTCCTTCATCGTTCCTCTCAGTGATGTGATGTTTTCTCATTTACAGTGTTGGTTGGAAAAAGAAAATTAATCCCCGCCCTCTTGCTCGGTGTGCCTTTTTTGTTTTTGTTTCTTTTCTGATATAGATGGGTGGATTTTTACAAAAGAATTTAGTAGTTTCACAAGAAAGTAAAAAGAAGTTAAAAAACCAGACTGTCCCCCAAAGAAAAAAAAGAAAAAGTATCTCCAAACCAGCTATTCGTTTTCATGACCAAACCATGTTTTGAAATTAAGCGACTTCTAGCGCTTATGCACAAAAGGACATGCAGTAGCGGTTTTTGATACGGGCGACATGGGCGGTTGCCCGGGCCGGCATCATGGGCATCGGCAAAAAAAAATAAAAATAAATTGATCGTACTAATGCTGCCCCGACGTCATGCCAGAGCATACTGAGGATGGTATCTAATAAACAACTCGCAAAATAAAACAAAATAAAAACAAACCAAGCAAACACGAAAACCCCAGACATCGTGATACAGATTTATAATTTGCACCGATGGTTTTTTCAAAATTCTATATGCGAAAAGTAAGTGCGAGAGCCCTCGGTGCGCCTGCTGCTGAAGTCAAAGTAAACTTTATTGTCATCTCCGCTACAGTCCAGTATACAGAGAGACGAGGCTCCAGTTACAGCAGTGCAAGTAAACAAACAATAAATAGAAGAAGAGTAAGAAAATAAATATACACTTTAGGACTCGGGGTAAAGGGATCAATGACAATTTAAAATTTATAATTTACAGTCTGATGATTTAAAGTCTCACACACAACACATCGAAAGGGGAGGGGCTGCTTCCAAATAGAGCACATTCCATTCATCATGTTGTAATTCCAAGCCCATTATGTATTCATGATGTGAATCCTGGGTTGTACGAAATCCCAGAAATAAACTCTAGACAAAGCAAATCTGTGAACTATGGTGTAGGTGTGTTAGATCATGTTGTGGTGATTCTCGGGTTGGGGGGTGGGTGTTCATACTGGAGTGCAAAATTACAACCAAGATGGACAAGAAAAGTTCAAAGCCATCAGGTGCTCAGTTTAGAAAAAAGAAAAAAAGAGGAGTTGGAGAAATGAGCAGAAGATACAGGTAAGCAGATGTGTCATTGGATAATGGCAGGTCATCCTGAAACAATCAGAATCAGAATACTTTATTTGTCATGTTCCAGAGTCTGTGGACTCCGTGTTTATGTTTAAGTTTATTATTATTCTGTGGACTTGTTTATTTTGGGGTCATTTTATGATTATCCTCTGTTTTCCGTGTGTCATTGTGAGGTCGTTCGTTTTCCTCGCCATAGTCACGGTCACTAGGGGCGCCAGAGGGAGTGTTCGCCCAGGGCGCCAAACAGGCTAGGACTGCCACTGATGACAGCTGGGCGCACTAGTAACATTCAGTGGAATAATTTGATACTCAAGAATAAAAATTGTGGATGTGTCCTCAGGCCGCAGTGGTTACTCTATAGAGCTCATTTTTAGGATTTCTTTTTATTATTGTAATTTAGTGAAAGTTACCATTATGTTTAATCTTAGCTCATGAAACTGTTTTTATTTAAGAAAACAAAAACAAAAACACTCACTGTATCCATTATAGCCACTCCAAAATGTCTGAATGGTTTCTGTTCTTATCTTTAAACAGCTGAAAATATTTAGAAATGAACGCTGTTAAAAATGTGAAATTCCCTTAAATTTTCTTAAACTCAGTTTAATATATATATATAGTACCAAATCACAACAAAACTCACGTACCTTAGAAACTAACAACAGTCAGATAAGCCATCAATGAGTGAGCACTAGTTACTTGTATTAGTAAATATCCAAGACAAAGTTGTTGTGAAGAAAGAGCCATCTCTTGGTGATACTCTACAATTGGAGAGGGGACTCCCAGCAACTCACCATTTTTAATATTTTACAATCTTGAAAATAGCTACGCTTTGCTATAATTACTGTTTTGCACACTCTTGGCATTCTCTCAGTGAGTCACCGGAAATGGTTTTCCAACAGTCCTGAAGGAGTTCCCAGAGATGTTGAGCACTTGCTGGCCCTGTTGCCTTCACTCTGTGGGGTTTATGTCAGGTGACTTTGGAGGACAGGCCATCTGGTGAAGCACTCCATCACTCTCCTTCTTGGTCAAATAGCCCTCACACACCCTGGAGGCGTGTTTGGGGTCATTGTCCTGTTGGAATAAAAAAATGATGGTCCGACTAAACACAAACTGGATGGGATAACATGTCGCTGCAGGATGCTGTGGTAGACATGCTGGCTCTGTGTACCTTCAATTTTGAATAAATCCCCAACAGTGTCACCAACAAAGCACACCCACATCATACCTCCTCCTTCATGCTTCATGGTGGGAACAATGCATGTAGAGAGCATCCTTTCAGCTTTTTGCATCGCATAAATACATGGCAGGGGGAACCAAAGATCCCAAATTTGGATTCATCAGGTCAAAGCAAAGATTTCCACTGGTCTAATGTCCATTCCTTGTGTTTTCTGGACCAAACAAATCTCTTCTGCCTGTTGCTTTTCTTAGTAGTGATTTCTTAGCAGCTATTTGACCATAAAGGCCTGATTCACACAGTCTCCTCTGAACAGCTGATGTAGAGATGTGTCTGCTACTAGAACTCTGTGTGACATTTATCTGTGTTCTAATCTGAGTTGCTGTTAATGAAACGGTTCTCCCTCTGAAAACGCTACGTCCAGATGAACAGAATCAACCTTTTGGGAACACAACTGATGATCCCAACCCCATTAAGATGGCAAGAAATTCCACCAATGAACCCTGACAAGGCACACCTGTGACGGGAAAGCCATTTCAGCTGACTACATCATCAAACTCATTGAGAGCAGACCAAGGGTGTGCAGTGCTGTCAACAAAGCAAAGGGTGGCTCCTTTGAGGAAAAGTGATGTAAAACATCAAATGTTTTTATTTGTTGTTGTGCTTAAAAATGTTGGATCTTTTCTGCAGGGGTTTTGGTTTCAAAAGGCTTATTTGTTTTGTTTTTTTCTGTTAAATACTTTACTCTCACTCACCATGAAAAACAGAAATATGTGTATGATAAGGGAACATGTAGAAACAACAATAGTGGAATCGTACAAAGCTCAGATGTCTTCCAGTAACCATTCAATAAAAAGGAAAGTGAAAGAGTTCCATTTACTAACGTTTTGTTTATTATGAAGCTACAAGTGGGGCTTTTTATTGTTTCTGTTTCTCACACAACGTTAAAGTTGTTTAGTTAGTTAGAATGATGGTCACAAAAATGATGGAAATATAACTATATACACACATTGTGCATGTGTGTTAGGCTTAACAACAAAGAGACCATGGTTTACATGCACATGCAAACAGTTTGTTCTATATTTCTTTTTTTTCTTTTTTTTTCTTTTTTTTTTTTTATCTCTGGAAGGATTTGGCACCAGGTTTTGGTTAAATTTAGAAAATGTTGTTTAGGTTAAAACAAATTTCTTAACAACAGTCACATTTGTTCACTGACAAACAACAAGTTTGGATCCCACTCAGGTCAAGGTACGCAAAGGAAACCTTAAATGTAAATGAGCCATGACGGCAGTTTTGGTAGAGCTGCACTAAATGGCATACCGGGAAAGAGAGCAGCCTGAAACCATTTATGACAGAAATGTAAACATATACCAACACAAATCTTAAGCTTTTATTCAGGGTAAAAGAGCATGAAAGAAAAATTATTCTTTTTTTTTAATTTGTTAAAGTTTTCTCACTAAATACATTTAAAATAATAACATATACATACATACAATAACATTTAAAAATATTTTTAGTAACTTTTTGAAGATGAAGTCTTTCTCCAGACCATTATTGTTGTAAGATGCCTTAGCAAACGAATAAAGCTAAGAAAACCACCTTTGTGTTCCAAGATCATTAAACTGAGTCAACTGTGTGCATTTTTTAGCATTTAATGCAAAATGTTTTATTAAAAATTTAATTCAAAATAATACAACAAAATTAGAGTAGAAAAGGTAATTCATGGATTTTAGGATAATTTAGTATTATTTAGTATTTCTTTTGCTTTAAAGAATGACATCCCTGCTCAGACACCACTTCTGAGTTCTGCCAGTTCTGAGTGTTTGAAAGAACTTCTTGTCATGTCGTGTCTTGTCCGGCTTTCTCAGCCTCATAAATATTCGGTGGGCTGAACAAGACAGAAGGTAAAAGGAAAACAGGAAATGTTCAATCCCCTCTTAATTCTTCTTTTCAGAGAGTATAAGCAGGATACAGCAGATAAGATTGGCAATGCAGACCTTGATCACAAATTTTGCTTCTGGAAAACGACGTGCCTACATGGTTATTATTGTGATTTTTATCACCACAATTTTGTTTAGCAGGAACTTTGAATGCACTTGCAAATCACAGGTGCTTGACTGCAGCATTTACATGTTTTTGCCATGTATAATAATATTTGGCTTAGTGCTGTGGACCAACATTTCCTTTCAGAGAATCTGTAGATACACATGTGTGATGGTAAATGCAAAAAATCTGGTAAATGCCCCAGATTTTTTTGTTCTTTCATCCGTCACTTTTCAAAGAAATTTTTAGTTAGTTTACTGTGGGCTGCATATGTCTGCTGTCTGAGAAATCTCTCTAACAGAACCCAAGAGGCACTGTTACCTTGCAAAGACAAGTGGAAGCTGACTTTTGAGGAGCGATTACACATCACTGAACAACGAGTCCAAGGTCAGTGTTTTTCTTTCTTTTTACACATCATGTGTTTTAACCTGTGATATTAATATGTCATAAAAATATTTTGTTTCTTTTTCAGAGGTATGGCTACATTTTGCTCTTGACTGTCATTGTTGTAGCATCTTTCATGCCTTATTTTAGATGTGGGAAATGCTGTAAAAAAACATCAAATTGCTTGGACAGTAAAATGACGTATTACAAAGTAATTCCCTGACAAACTGATACTGAAAGGGGGGGGGGGGGGGGGGGGGGGGGTGAGGAAACAGCTTCTAAGGACAAAAGCAAAAGAAAACCTGACTTTTTCATGAAAGGAAGGATAGATGAGGAACGATGGGAAGAGTTTTTCACCTGCTGTTTCACCTGCTGTTTATAAACCAAACTGAATTGTATCATCATGTCTGTCTGTTATATTTCTGTCTGTTCATCACTTTGTAAGCTTGAAAAACTTGTAAACTGTGTTGAGCAGTCACTATTATAGGCTCTTTACCTGAAAATGTGAAGCGCCTTAATGTTGCTGTAAATTGACGCTAGATAAATAAAATCGAATTGAACTGAATTGAATTTATTTGGCTTCA